CCTTTCCTCCCTCCCTCCCTTTGTGCAAAGGTCTGCTGTGTGCATCCCAACGATCTATGCAATAGCACTGTTGTGGCATAATATAAAAACAAGGATAAAATTATATGATGTGGGGCTTTTTGTTGTTCTTATTATTTTTTTATGAGGGTGTGTTTTTGGTTTTTGTTTTTGTTTTGTTTCTTTTCCGTATCTCAACCAAATGTACAGCAACAAGTGCCTGTGACTGGAGTCTGTGGTGTAGTAGTTAGGCACTTTGCTGTCGCACGCTAGAGAACCAAGTTCGTTTCCCAAATTATGGGTAGAATCATTTTTTTCGAGCGTTTCAGTCTTTCTGCTGGAATGTTGTGTCCCTCTCCTCAGCCCAGGTTGGCCCTGACAGGCAGGGTTATAAGCCCACCTTCTATATATGATCTAAATTGTGTCGATAGAGGGGTAAAAACACGCCCACATTGATGAATTGACATGACCTCCAAACATTCCAAATTCTGAGTTACGGCCTTGTTGTTATAGAGTCGTGGTTATGTTGAAACGTGAAATGAAATGATATTATTATGTCCCCTGCTGTACTCAATGGGACGCTCTCTTTGTGTTCTGAAGTGATGTAGCTTACTGTATATGTGGGAAAAACGTACAGCTTTGAGAGATACAGCCTGACATACATATTATATCAAAATCTGTGAGACGTGGAAATCTTTTCGTTATGCACGAATTTCGTTAGGTGTGTATCTTAAATACAAAGAATATACATGTAAGAATATACATGTAAAAAAAAAATTCGGACATATCTATCTGTTATGAAGCCATTTCTCTGTGAGAGATTTAGATATTAAACTGTCCCAAAGTGGTATTGCTCTATAAGACTTATTGAACGTCGTGACCTCATAATAATTGCTGCTTTTAAAAACTGAATTTTTACTCCATATTTTTATATACTTCAAACGTTCTGACTTGCAAGGCGTGGCAGCTGTGAACTAACGTGAAAACTACCAACTTCTGTCCCGTACGCTCGCATGATTTTTGCAGTTGCGAGCGTCGTAAATCTTTTACCAAGCTGACAATCTTAACAACGTTCTAACTCGGAATTTTGACTGTTTGGAGTCAGTGTGTCACTGGCCTCCCTCCAGTGCAGCCTATAACGTAATATTATGTAAATAATTATAAGAACTCTTATTCCTTTATTTTCAAAGATAAAAGTCATGCGTATTTAATTAATTTTGTTCTTCGTTATAGGGAGGCACGGTGTGTAAAAACTTTGAACTCAAAATAATATTTATCTCAAAAGTGAGTGAAACTGGAGATACAACCTTGTAGTTCAGAGTTCGTTGTCATGTAAGTGTTTGTTGCAAAGACCTTGTTCTGTCTGAGGTGTACTATCATGTGTGTCTCTGTTACAAAGACCTGAGATATAAAATTATTATGTGTGTATTATAATTATTACATATTATGAAGGGCACGAGGAAAAAACAAGGTATGTCACTTTTTGGCATTCTGGGAAAAACGAAAATGAAACGCTTGCCAGTCCACGTTTATTGTCCAGTCCTGATATTGGGTGACTCATCAAGTTTTAACCCTGAACTCTGAGATGGGATAGAAGAGATCATGACGTGTGAACACTTTCCTACCCATGTCGCAGCTCAAATTAATTATCCAAAAACTGACATCTCTTGCTTTTCCCTTGTTCGTGTCAATGTGTATATCTGTCACAAAGTGACATTGTTCTGTTAGTGATGTATTGTGTGTTTATCTGTCATAAAATGACACTGTTCTGTCGGATATAATATGTATTTTATATGTCATAGAATGACACTGTTCTGTCAGATAGAATACGTATTTGTCTGTTACAACGTGACATTGTTCTGTCAGATATAATATGTATTTATCTGCCATAGAATGACAGTTCTGTCCGATATAATAATATGTATTTATCTGTCATAAAATGGCACTGTTCTGTCAGATATAATATGTATGTATCTGTTACAACGTGACATTGTTTTGTCAGATATAATAATATATGTATTTATCTGTTACAACGTGACATTGTTCTGTCAGAGTTGCGTGTGATTGTCACAAAGACAAAAGGTGCAGATTTGCTATTCTTTAGTTTCAATTGTTCTTTTTTTAAAAACAAGTGCTCCTCTGAGTAAACTGAT